AAACAAAATAGTTAAAATTTTTAAATTTTCAAAATGTATAAATATATATATATATATATTTATATATATATATAAAAATTTAAAATTTATATATATATATAAATTTTATATATATTTATATATATTCAAATTTATATAAATTCATATATATATATATAAATTTTATAAAATTTTCTTATATATAAATATATATATATATATATATTTAAATATATATATATATATATATATATATATAAATATATATATATATATAAAATTTATATATATATATACATTTTAAAAATTTATATATATAGATATATATATATATAAATTTTATATAAAATTTAAATATATATTTGTGTGTATTTTAAAAAAAATTTTATATATATATATATATATATTTAATTTAGAATATTTCTATATATAAAAATTTTAGAATATATATATATATATATATATATATATATATATATATATATATATATTTATTTAAAAATATAAATAAATGGAAAAATTTTATAGACAAATATTCAAATATATATTGTTATCGGCTTAAATTATAAAATTTATTTAAAACCGCACATTTTAACAGTAGTGTAATTACTTAGATAACATAATACTTGACAAACAAAATAGTTATCAATTTTTAAATTTTAGAAAATTTCTAATTAATTGGTAACTAAAAAAAATCCATTTTCAATTACTATGGTTGTAGGGTCCTCCATTAGGTCACGTAAAAAAGCAGCATATCAGGATTAAAGAAAGACTCAAATCAACAAAAACAAAGTTTTCTCTGAATATGTTGTTATTAATTGAAAGCTAAAGCATTAAATTTATTACTTACAGTAAGTAACATATTCTGGTGTCTTTCAGATAGAAATTATATAGATTGGAATGTTAAATATATGCTCGATTTTTGTTTAATTTTCTTAAAAGTGGCCATTTTCTTAAATTTTAAGAAATTTGTAAACAAAACAAAATTTTGATTTTAAACTTCTTCCTAAAATAAATTTATATATTTTTTGACACGTTTTTCGAGTAAAATTAGAAAATTTAAAGTTAAATTAATCTGATATGAAACAAACAGTACTGACTTATAGCATAAAAATTTGTATCCAAACATTTCTTAACGATGTGTCTGAATTTATCAAAGAAATCGATTGTGACGAGGTGATGACAGATTACTATGGATGATCAAAATTGACAATTTTTTAAAAAATACGCGGTTTTTCGTTTTTAACTAGTACTTTTTAAATATTAACATTTGTATTCAGCAATTATGTAATATGTATTTTTTATTTCATACTTTCTTAATTAGATAATACTTTAAATTTTTTTATTAATTAGATAATTCTTTAAATTTTTTAAGGATTATGTCATGTATACATTTCCATACGTAGAAATTATGAACGTTTTTTTCAATAAAAATTTTTTTAAAAATTATTTTAAAAATATCTTGGGTCAAACGACTATTGTGTGCTTTTCAAATTTCGATTCGTAAATTTACTTTTTCATTAACGTTATCATTGCATTACGTGCTTAAAAGCAATAAAGAATTTTAAACGATTTTTGAAGTATTAAGAAGTTAATGAAAAAAATTTTAAAAATGGTAAAAAAAATTGTAAAAAAAATTGTAAAAAATACATTATTCATCGAAAATTTTTTATTTCTTCACAAAATAATGTCCTTAGTATAACCTATTTACAAAAACAGGTGAAAGCTTTTCTAATTAATTAATGTCATACTTTTTACATTTTTTTTATAATTCAAAATATTTTCTATGAAACCGGGTACTGTTTTTACAAAAAAAAAAAAAAAAACTGATTTACTTTCTACAAAGAGTCCTGTTTATAACTAATAAAACAAATCCCGCGCGAAGATTTAATTTCTTGAAATTTCATGAAAATATGTAAGTGGGTGGAAACATGTTAAAAAAAATCTCTTTTTTACAAGATTTTCTGAAAAAAATTTCAAAAATATTTTCATTCATTTCTGAATAAGTCTTGAACGTTTCAATAAAATCCGACAATTATTTGATTTTGCAAAATTTCCTAATTAACGTGTGTTTTCCTCATTTAAAGCGCAAAATAAAACAAACTTTTTTTTCTTATATTACGCTGTCATCGTAAAAAAAAAAATTTTTAACCAAAATTTTCTCCGTGTTAGAAAGGAGTAAAAAATTTCAAAAAATATTTTAAAAATACTTTGGTCTTTTCTCTTCATAACAACATAAACATATTAAGACAAAATTTTGTTTCCGTTGATTTATAGACCTTTATTCATCGTGATATGCTGCTTTTTTTTAAGTGACCTAATGGAGGAGGCTAGGTTAAAGTCAATAATGCTTTACCGCACTAATCGAGTGTTATGTATGCACTAATCGAATTTTGGTATATAAAAATTTTTAGTGAACTTATCGAAATATCGCATTTCGAATAATTATCATTTTACTAATTGTCCTTTCGATTAATTTTAATTCAAAGTATTTACAATTCCAATAAATGTTCTTTCCAATAATTGTTTTCGAAGAATTTTCTCGATACGGACAGCTCGTCTAGATCTCTTTTTCTACTGCTCAGACGTTACCAATTCTCTTGCCACGTCATCTATGTTTGAACTACCCTGACCAGGAATTGAACTCACAATTAATACGCTACAAAATACTCTCTAGAAACACCCGAATGGTTATCACTAAAGAAAGAACAATTATACTAAATGATAATTATTCGAAATGCAAAATTCTTTATTGCATTAAAAATTAAAAGAGAAAATATACTCAAATGTAATACAAATATACAAATATCGTTAATAAGACTGTTAGAAAAATCCTTTTAACCTTAAGTTATATGATACTACCCCCGGAATCGATACTTCAAATATACAAAACAACCATTCGCCCTTGCATGGAGTATTGCTGCCATATATGGTCTGGGGAACCTTCTGCTTACCTCGGAGTTCTTGACAGGATCCAGAGACGGATATATAATGTAATTGGTCCTGATCTGGCGTCTCGTCTGCAGTCACTCTCTCACAGACGTGCCGTCGCCTCTCTCTGTCTTTTCTACAAATACTTCCATGGTAATTGCTCTGATGAGCTGCTTTCACTGGTTCCCAGACTCCATGAATTCAAGCGCCCTACGAGGCTGGCATCCCTTTCCCATCCTTACACTGTAGAAACTTTTAAATGTAACCGTCTCTTCTACTCCAATAGCTTCATACCTCACACCTCTCGCCTGTGGAGCTCCCTTCCCAATTACTGTTTCACTGACAGCTATAATCTCCAACTATTCAAATTTAATGTCAATCGACACCTCCAGTTACCTTGATCTACCCACTATCCTTCTCCTCATCCTTTCCGCTATCACTCCTATCCGCTCTCGCTCCAAATCTTCCGCAACCCCCTGCATCCTAGTGGCTTCACGCCTTGCTCGGGGCGTAATGCTTAAAAAAAAAAAAACGCATATAGTTAACCATTAAAGAGGACTCGTTAATGGTTGCCACTAATTTTCTTAACTTTTCCATTTACGTCGCAGTATTTCTTGCCGCTCTTGATATTTTGGTAACCTGCTCTTACTTTTGGAATATGAATTTCTAGCAAGTCCAGTTCACGTTTAAGAGCGTCCAAGAATTTCCATATTGTGGGATGATGGGATAACACTTGCTGTAAAAAGCCCTATCCTTCAAGGGCATTATTAGTTCGAGGTAAATCAGCATTGAAACTCTCAAAGCAAGACCACATACGTATTTCAAACATAGGTATTTCGAATAATTAATAATTTCATTTAATATAATTGCCCGTTCGATTAGTTTTCATTCAAAGAATTTACAATTGTTTTCGAAGAATTTTCTCGATACGGATAGCACGTCTAGATCTATTTTTTTTTTTTATTGTTCAGATATTACCAATTCTCTTGCCACTGTATCTATGTTTGAATTACCCGGACCGGACTCACAATTAATAAGATAGAAAATGTTTGAACTAATGCTTTTATTCTCTAGAAAGAACCAAGTGGTTATCCCTAAAGGAAGAGATATCCCGAGACAGAATGAGAAAAATCTACCCTCATAGATTAAATATGAATTAAAGCGCAGTACTAGATTGGCAGTTAGGTCTCACGCCGATCTGATATTGAAATAGTTAGATGTAACCGTAAGTTCTATTCTAATAGTTTCTTCTTTCGAGCTTCTCGCCCAAAGAAGTCTTCTAGTTTCATGCTTCCCCACCACCCGCGTTCTTCAACATTCTAAATGCAACGTCAATCGCGATCTTTTGTCTTCCTTTAAACCTGTTTACTGTTCTTTCTCCTCACTAAAGTCTTCTCATTCTCTTTCACCCCCAGTAACTCCTTGCGTCTTAGTAGCATTATCGTCATTGTCTGTCTTCCTGAAACCTATTCTTTTATTGACCTTTCTCTTCACTAAAGTCTTCTCATTCTCTTTCACTCTCAGTCAACCCTTGCGTCTTAGTGGCATTATCGCCATCTTCTGTCTTCCTGAAATCTGTTCTTTTATTGTCTTTTCTCCTCATTAAAGTCTTCTTATTCTCCTTCATTCTCAGAAATCCCTTGCGTCTTAGTGCCATGATCCCCAGCTTCTGTCTTCCTGAAACCT